AATCTTTCCATTGCCATTGTTTGGTGATATATCACCGTACACCACATACAGAGCGCAAACATACAAGTCAATGTTAACCCTCGCCCGCACATGCCATTTTCCATCCTAGAAAGCACATGGGCGGGGGGAGGGGGCATCCTCCGCGGCATTTCGTTCCTGTTGGAGATAGAGCTTCGCGGTAAAGACTAAAAAGATTCTTTGGGAAGAGACGAATCCAATGATACCCAGTTTTACCTTCTCAGGTCAGTCATTGACCTTCCAGGTCAGGTCAAACTAAAAAATGTCGCTGTTTTGTGTCACCGTTGGATATCGAGTGCGCTGCTCATCATATACCGTCGACGATGCCGTTTTGTGGTGCCAAGCCAGCTAGAACCTCTTTGTCACACTATCCGACCAGGTTTTTGCTGCTGAGGTCATTTCAGGTCAAGTTAGGTCAAGGCCAATGATATGTTTGTATGTCTGTGTGTCTACTGATGTGTGCACCGATTGTTTATGTGTCCATATTACATGAGATCATGAAATGAGAAGCTTTTGCCAAAAATACAGTAAAAGAAACTTCACGAAAAGTAAATTCAGCTTGCCTAAAACGTAATGTTTTTAGATGAACTAGGTTGACCTTGAACCTGACCTTGACATCTTAACATCATCGAACAACATGTTCCATGATAGGTGAGAGGTAAGACTGGCAAAAAAGGCCGAAATCAAGTTGTCAAAAGCTCATAAGACCCATAGCCAACGCAGGATATTGGCTATTTGTCATTTGGGTCATTACATGACCTGAAGAACAAGATCATATCTCCAAAGCAAAAACCACAGCAGCTTGAAATTTTCAGTGGCCATCAAGAAAGAATAGAGGAGCAACTATACGAAAAATAAGGCTTCTACCTCTAAAAATGTTGAGTGCAGAGCAGAAAAACTACGTGAGAGGAGCGGGGGTGGCAACCCCCACCCCCTATGCGCGGGCGAGGGTTAAGGTAAACTTATCAACTATCAATGTTAGCATCAAAGGAAGGTAACAATTGCATTTCATCGTTCCTATTGAACAAATGTATTTAAACTCGGTCAGCCATTTTGTATTGATCGCAATATGGTTGCTCTTCCAGGTATATCCAGCACGCTCCGGACCTTCGATACGTGAGCCGGCAGGCGTGGCGCAACCTGACCTCCCTCAAGTCCCTGTGAGTAGATCAATGAAGGCCTGTCGGGTCCGTCGACTTATTACAAAGTCGGTAACGGATGGGGTGGGGATTATTATCGATGGCGGCTCACGCAGCAGGAGTTCAGGTAATCTGTCAACCCGAGCTTCCCTAAACAATAGTTACCTTATGCGTTCTTTGTCTGGTGTTAGTGTAACAATATATTTGGACGTGTGTATTGAGCGTTGGACACTTTTTAAACTGCGCTGTGTCATCCAGGGCCTCGGCTAACATGTTAACTGGTGGGCCAAATGGCCCACCAGTGACCCGAAATGGCCCACCAGCCTCAAAGATTTGGCCCACCAGTAATTTTCCGAAAAATCTAAGTTTTCACATTTTTCACATTTCAAATTGAATTCGCAGATCTTATCGTACATTTTCAGGCTGTAAAGTACCCATCGGTGAAACATATTCTTGTGAAAAAAAACTTGAACCTATTGTTCGCAATATCCTCTTGGGGTAAAAAGTGGACTATAGTACCCGCAACTTAAAAAAAAATCCACCACTTACCTACGTCTTTGCTGTTTGATTTTTACTTCGATTTCCATGTGACGTCACAGTCAAATTGCTGCCATATTTTGTACCATCGATCGATCGAGTGGTTGCAGTCACATAAGCATCTGCCGCAGACCAGTCGGTTACAAGAAAAACTACGAATAAAGAACAGACCAGTTCAGACGGTCGGGGATAAGCCTGCGAGCGATCTCAGACGGCTCGCCGAGAGATACGATATAAGCCAGAGTCAAACTAGAGGTAGTGTCGGCAACTTCCAGGCAATTGAAGTCTGCAAGCGATATTATGCGTCTTCACGACCGGTAGGTATAATGCTTGCAGTCACACATCTGACCAGCCGGACTTTTCGAACCGTTCACAGTCAGCGTTCCAAATATTTCTCATTTGGGCTGAAGATGACACTCAAGAATAAGAATCGAAAATTTTCCACTCTCACATTTTGGGTGGCTAGAATTTTCCACTCAGACACCCAAGAGAAATCTGAAGTTTGGGACATTGTTCACCAGAAGTGTACATAACTTTTTTTTAAAGAAAATATTAGGGTTGCGCAGTGTGCTTGGGCTTTTGAGTCAATTCTTTTCCATGCGACACCAATAGGCTTAATTATCATTTTCAGAGATGTTGGGTTGCTGCTACAACTCCCTTTGGGGCTCCTGCTACAACCCACTTTATATATAAAATTGCACTCGTGCTGTTCACAATTCCTCCCGATCCACCCGACAACGCCCGATCCCGTCCGACCGCTTCCGTATCTCCGACTAGTCGGCGAGCGATCCACTCAGGGCTCGCTGATTTTTAACATCCGGCCGGCCGTAAGTTATCGTCCAAAGGTTTATAATCTGCGTCAATATTTTGTGCAAACTTGTGCGATTTTATGTGCACCCCCGGAGTATTACCACTGAGAGGGTTGTGCTTGTGGGTCCCTACTCCCTAATCTCTCTCTCTTAAGAGTGTGTGTGGGGGGGGGGGGCGGTGTCGAGCTCCGTTTTTTTACATTTTTTTTAATGCCATTCTGACGTTTTTTTTGCAGAATAAAGTGGCCGAAATCTGGGGAGAAATCGAAAATTGGGGGGGGGGGGGGGCTATGGCTACGAAGGTCAGCCCATGTCTCTGCCCAAGTGGCCTACCAGTCAAAATTCCTTAGCCGAGGCCCTGGTGTCATCCTCCATAGAATCTATCAATTGATAGAAGACATTATTAGATTACATAAGCTGGAGACAAGGTGCCGACTGCCGACAATTTGTATGCATTTTTGAGGTTCGTGATCTAGCCAAATCATTGCCTAAGAGTTGCTTCAAAAACATGGCACTGCACACTGCACGGCTTAATCCTGGTAAAAGCTCAATATAAAAGCATGTGTACTCATTCCAACTTTTCCCTAATCAAGAACTTTTAATTCTAAACAACTTTGGAAACAGTCAAAGCTGCTCGACGTGAAGTCAGTTTTTTTTTTTTTGCGCGGCAAGTAAGGCTCTTTCAGTCCGCACCTGTGAAGCATGCTCGGAGCGCCAGTGTTGACTGCACCACGTTGCAAACAAGGTCAGGGAAGTGCATTATCGGGCTCACCATGCCGTTCCGGGATGAATGATGCGGTTCTCGGAGCTCGTGCGTTACCCCGTCCGGAGACGGTGCCTACTGACCCGCCAGGGTCCCCCGAGCGGTAATGGTATTACATCGCCGAACAGAACCTGACCTCAGCTGCCGTCTGACCTCCCACTTTGAAACATACACATATATGAGGCCGACAGAGCCGATTCTGTGTCGCTGTATCCACTGTAAATGCATGAGACGGCCGCAAATACCGTCCCAAGACAGCGCTGAATATGCCCTGGACTGCGATGTGGCGCCGGCCCAAACTGTTACAAACTTGTTGTCGAAATCCGCCGCGACGTTTTCCATTGTAATTCAGCATTATGAAGCAATTACGTATACCTTCGACGCGTTCGTTGCAAACATTCAGGCACCAAAATAGATTTCTGTTCAGCGCAGCTAAACACGATTGAAGCTTAGCAACACATATCGATTGCTATGGTTCTTATGCTCTGTCAACGATCATTGACGATGCAACTCTAACCTACCCCAAGCTTCATACACGTTCGTTTAGACTTACACAAGCCTATCGCTCTCTCTGAAGGCTCACATTAGCGTCGTGTATTCTACGGCTGCTCGTGACAGCCCGTCTCCACCCTCGTCTTTGACAATCTTTCGTTTCTCTTTTTGCCTTCTTTCTTTATTTCTCTGTCCGTCTTCCTTACATTTCTTTGTCTCGCGTTTTATGAACCGACGATCGTCCGTGTCTGTCTCCCGTGTATTTCTCACTTTGTCCCCCCTTTTTTCCTCAACCACCTGCAGTTCTCAATCGTCTTCTATATACAGGGTGTCCAGAAAAAAAGATACCACGGAAATTAAGTCGCATTCATTAACGCACGTGCCGATTTTGTTCCAAATTCATGTGCTTATAGTGCAAGATTTGGCAAAACTCATGAGCACTGTAGTCTGTAATGCGTCGTTGGAAAGTTGTCTGCTTGCCCTCCGAGATGGTCAACATGACCATCAGTCACCTGCAGACTGCTAGTGCTGGAGCTGATCCGCCGTAAGGCCGCTCACATTGAGTGTCTGCTTTGAGGAGCTGCCGCAACTAACCAAAGAGTTTACATGCCACGTGGCACCTGCTGTCTGTTTTGCCATATTTTGGCGAATACAAGCATGTGCCATTTTAAAATGTAAGGTGTTTATTTTCGGAATTACAGCAAAAAATAATAGTATCCGTTTTTCTGGACACCCTGTATGCATTTGTCACTGGTCTCAAGTGTATTTTTCGCCAGTCCCACGCCTTGCTCCGCCAATCTTCAGCGTATCATTCCATTAGTCTCGGATCCTTACGTCAGTCAGTCTTCTTCGTGAAACTGATAATTTATAGTTTGCTGTGGATGAGCACGGAATGCAGGGTTACATGTTGAGAAGCCTCATGCCTCTTAGTTTTGCTTTGCTGTTGAAAGTTTTGAATGTCACCCAAGCCTTTGTGTTACGCTTTTACCAAGTTTTGTAACTTGAATTTGGCCTGAAACGCTGGTAACGGGTTTGACGACTGATGATGACATAATGTCAAAACCCATTTGGTTCATATAACTTCCATTAAAGACCTGTAAGTGGCACCAAAGAGTGACAAGCTTGTTGTGAACTCGTTAACTTTGCTAGCGACTTAGGTACTCGTATTAGGTAGGGGAGAGTGGGGCAAAGCGGCCACCCGGGGCAAAGCGGCCACCCATCGTTTTAGCCCTTCATAGCTGGCGTCAGTTCCAATTTATGGTTTCCAATTATACTTCTCTTCACGGTCGTTCGAATGAGCCAGGCCGGGGTTTCAGGCCCATCACCATTGTTCTGTGAAACACGGAAAAGCATTTCTTGCCAGGTTACCAACTATGTTTACAATTTTTAAATGTTATGTTATTCCATAACCGTTTGGAATTTTTATAAGCGTTCTTGTCCATGCATTGCATGGTTATCGTACATGTATTCTACCAATTGTAATGTTTTTTACCCCACTAATAGCTATAAGCTGGAATATTTTTGTCTCGGACGGTATGCACGGGGCAAAGTGGCCGGGGCAAAGTGGCCACCCCCCAATTGGCCATAAGTTGTTTCCATCTGGATAAAAAACATTATTTATATTTAAATGTGTCGTCATGCATTCATCTTGGCCACTTTTCAGTTGCATGAGTTACCAAAATATGCAATCAAATGTTTTTTTATGAAAATCCTTTCTTTGTTTACCTACAGGTGGAAGATGATAAAGATAAACATCCATCCTCGCTTAACCTTGTCACCATCAAATACCCTAATCGTACACGAGGCAACTATTTTGTCACGGGCGTAGGAACGTCATGAAAAGTGGGTGGGCCACCCTGTCAAGGGGCCTCCTTTTCCAGGGGGCCTCCTATTTTCAGGGGCCTCCAACTTTTGCATCGTCCTGATGGCTGCTTTCAAGTATGACCTCCAAATCTAGCTTCAGAGATCGGGCAGATGTACCCAGAGGCGTAACCGCTTAAGCGAACAGTGCGGAAAGTCCGCACCATTTTTAAAACTTATTTCCCCTCCGATTTTTTTTTTAGAATCTATTTGCCGCAAACGGCGCATGACCCCTGAAAACCCTTACACAAATGTCTTCCTCGTTTCCCAGGTGCCCCCATTAGCTTCATGGGCGCCCTCTTTGGCATATAAGCGCCCTATGTATAGTCATCAGAGACATCCCTATATGTCCCACACCCACAGTCACCCCGTTGTCGCATATACAACCTATTATGGACACTTGAAGGCGCCTCTCTTTGCCACGCCGGTGCCCCTGTTTCTTATGAATGCACCCCCATGGCATTGATCAATTGCAGTCTGCAGACCTCTATTCACTATTGCATGTGGACGCCCATATGGTAGGCCTCAGAGGCACCCCTCTTTCGCATTGAGGCACCCCT